GGCAACTTCGCTAAGATCAGCTTTTTGCTCCATTGCTCACAGTGGTAAATTCACAAAAATAATCTCTCAATAACCACAGCCTGCAGTCAGAGTTTGTTTCCTCTGGATTTTGAAGGCTTTAGTGGTGCACCGCCCCCTTTGACATAGATCACATTGCCTTATATGGCTTGGCGTGACAATATGCACACAATCTCTCGTTGTGCACTGTTTATTTCAAGATTTGTACTTCATATTACATGAGGAAGTTTAATATAATCCGAATTCAAGTTTACTTTTCACAGAATTCAAGAAACTCTAAATAATTTTTTTGTGAATATATGAGCCAAATCTAAAAAGAGTGTCAGGTGATTTTTCTATTATTTATCTTCTTTACTTAAAATTATTGTTGCTCGGTCTGTAACTTTTAAATTTCACAGAAAAAGCGCTTAATGGCATGGTTTTAAAAAAACATATTAATTTTCAACACAATTTCTTATGTACTCGAACCCCCCCAAAAAAGCAACAGCTTGTGGTGTTCCTTCCACTTAGGATAAAACCAATAAGGTCAGACACCTCTTTAAACTTGTTTTTACAACGGTGTTATTGGAATCAAACAAACACTTCCTTTAAAAAAAAAATACTATAAACAACATGAATAATTTTTATGATTTTTTTAAATATTCATTTGATTTTTCCCACTTTATGGTATGCATACCTTCATCACTATTAAAAAAGGTCTAGATCAAGCACTTGGGTGTGTTAACTTTATTCAACAAACTCTCCCGCTCTGATAACTCAAAATTAATTTTTCACTTCTTTATTTCCCACTCAAGAATAGTAAGGACATAATGTGAACTTAGATACAAATCCTCTTCGAATCAGATATACCCTGACAAGTGACACAAATGACTTTCTAAATATGCTAAAAGCCATGCAAGAGATAAACCTCTGCTTGAAGAGTAGCCCTGATGACATCATAGGCTTAACCTCAATATAAACATGGCACTACACAAGACTTGACACTGAGCCAGATAGTGCATGACAAAAACCATGCATTTACTCATGCATAAAAAAACATAAACAAACGTTAATAGGTGTAACAAAACAAAAGAGTGCTGATTGAGGTGATAAGAGAACAACTTACTAGTAACCTTTTTTGGTCAGTTTATAATAATCATGATAGGTAACCTAAACTATAAAAAAGAATTATTATTTGCTTATAAGCATTCTAGAATACATAATCATTGGCCAGTAATTTTAAATTCTGTGCATTTACTTTCTCTTCCTTTAATTTCAGTCCACTTTCTTAATGTGTTTTAGCAATGTGAAAATGGAACAGACTTTCTGGTATGACAAACATGTAAACATCTGCTTTAGGGGAAACTGTTCAGTGCCAGATCCTTTATAGATGCCCTTTTACAGTAATCAAGAATCACAATGAATGAAAATCTCTAATAAAATTAATAGTAAAGTCATCACCTACATGCAATTTTTTTGTTGTTTTATAATAAAATTCAAATGCTACTGTATTTTAAGTATTAACGGCATCACACAATTCACTGGCCTGTAAACATGCTCTTTATTCAGAGGCAAGGTAAATAGAAAGTAGAAAGTGAAGGGGGCTGTCTGTTTTCTTGAAAACTTTTTGATGATTATGTTACAGTAGAGGTGTACTTGAGATTGGATCCTATGAGATGAAGAGAAAAGGCAGTGATACGTCAAGGAGCCGGTCATGTATATGTTGCAGTCAATTTTAAACTCAGCTAATTTTTATTTTTCTATCGTTTTTGGGTATGATAATGCATGCTAATTATGCCAATTAATTTGAAACAAAGAAAAAACAAAAATAAACTGACATAAAAAATTAACTACAACATATATATTACTATGGTTAACCTTTTGGATGTCTTGAAAAGTGTGTGTGTATGTTCTGCCCAAAGGCAGGTCCTTCCTTATCGTTCACAATCTAAGGCATGACTCTTGACCACAATGTAAGAGCCGCCACCCTTTACTCAATCTAGCATTCTCACTCAAAGTCTTCCAGTTGATACATTAATGTTAGAACATGTAACTCTAAAAAAAAAAAAATTTTCTGCTCTTTGATCCAGGATTTGACATCACACCTTCACTTAAAAAGTATTTTAAAGGGGGGCTACATCATTTCAAGGTTATACCAAATAAATTTATTTCCCGTCAAATTTTAAATATTACAGTCATTAAATTGCAGAATAATTTCACTCTTTTCATAAGAGATTTTTAATTTACCAGCTTTTAATTTTTAGCTCTACTTTTATCCTAGTATCTATTCAACCAAAATGCTCAGTTTGAATTTTCGGCAACTTCCAGAGGCAAAGGGAACAGCATTTTAACCTCCCCCTGGACATATCAAACACTTAAACGTATCTCTGAAAAAAAATACCTTTAGAGTGGTTAAAGTTTTATCTTTCATAAGATAGCGCGGTTAAGGCTCTGTATGAAGTGCTGATAATTACTGCCCACCTACCCCTCCCCTAAGTGAGAAGTAAGTGTTAATGTTGGCTTAGGGGAGGGGTAGGTGGGCAGTTTCCCAGCAACGTATAATGATTCTTTTTTTCTACAATGGCTTCTTCCCTCTTAAATTCACGCTCGCATGGCTAGGATTTTGAAGGCTTTAGTGGTGCACCGCCCCCTTTGACATAGATCACATTGCCTTATATGGCTTGGCGTGACAATATGCACACAATCTCTCGTTGTGCACTGTTTATTTCAAGATTTGTACTTCATATTACATGAGGAAGTTTAATATAATCCGAATTCAAGTTTACTTTTCACAGAATTCAAGAAACTCTAAATAATTTTTTTGTGAATATATGAGCCAAATCTAAAAAGAGTGTCAGGTGATTTTTCTATTATTTATCTTCTTTACTTAAAATTATTGTTGCTCGGTCTGTAACTTTTAAATTTCACAGAAAAAGCGCTTAATGGCATGGTTTTAAAAAAAACACATTAATTTTTAACACAATTTCTTATGTACTCGAACCCCCCCAAAAAAGCAACAGCTTGTGGTGTTCCTTCCACTTAGGATAAAACCAATAAGGTCAGACACCTCTTTAAACTTGTTTTTACAACGGTGTTATTGGAATCAAACAAACACTTCCTTTAAAAAAAAAATACTATAAACAACATGAATAATTTTTATGATTTTTTTAAATATTCATTTGATTTTTCCCACTTTATGGTATGCATACCTTCATCACTATTAAAAAAGGTCTAGATCAAGCACTTGGGTGTGTTAACTTTATTCAACAAACTCTCCCGCTCTGATAACTCAAAATTAATTTTTCACTTCTTTATTTCCCACTCAAGAATAGTAAGGACATAATGTGAACTTAGATACAAATCCTCTTCGAATCAGATATACCCTGACAAGTGACACAAATGACTTTCTAAATATGCTAAAAGCCATGCAAGAGATAAACCTCTGCTTGAAGAGTAGCCCTGATGACATCATAGGCTTAACCTCAATATAAACATGGCACTACACAAGACTTGACACTGAGCCAGATAGTGCATGACAAAAACCATGCATTTACTCATGCATAAAAAAACATAAACAAACGTTAATAGGTGTAACAAAACAAAAGAGTGCTGATTGAGGTGATAAGAGAACAACTTACTAGTAACCTTTTTTGGTCAGTTTATAATAATCATGATAGGCAACCTAAACTATAAAAAAGAATTATTATTTGCTTATAAGCATTCTAGAATACATAATCATTGGCCAGTAATTTTAAATTCTGTGCATTTACTTTCTCTTCCTTTAATTTCAGTCCACTTTCTAATTTGTTTTAGCAATGTGAAAATCGAACAGACTTTCTGGTATGACAAACATGTAAACATCTGCTTTAGGGGAAACTGTTCAGTGCCAGATCCTTTATAGATGTCCTTTTACAGTAATCAAGAATCACAATGAATGAAAGTCTGTAATAAAATTAATAGTAAAGTCATCACCTACATGTAATTTTGTTGTTGTTTTATAATAAAATTCAAATGCCACTGTATTTAAGTATTAACAGCATCACACAATTCACTGGCCTGTAAACATGCTCTTTATTCAGAGGCAAGGTAAATAGAAAGTAGAAAGTGAAGGGGGCTGTCTGTTTTCTTGAAAACTTTTCGATGATTATGTTACAGTATAGGTGCACTTGAGATTGGATCCTATGCAATATTAATATATTTTTATAAACAATGGATAATAAATTTGATGAAGAGAAAAGGCAGTGATACGTCAAGGAGCCAGTCATGTATATGTTGCAGTTAATTGTTATTTTTCCATCGTTTTTGGGTATGATAATGTATGCTCAGAATTATGCTAATTAATTTGAAACAAAGAAAAAACAAAAATTAACTGAAATAAAAAATTAACTACAACATATATATTAGTATGGTTAACCTTTTGGATGTCTGGAAAAGTGTGTGTGTATGTTCTGCCCAAAGGCAGGTCCTTCCTTATTGTCACGATCTAAGGCACGCCTCTTGACTACAACGCAAGAGCCACCACCCTTTACTCGATCTAGCATTCTCACCCAAGGTCTTACAGTTGGTAAATTAATGTTAGAGCATGTAACTCTAATAAAAAAAAAAAAAAATTTATATAACTTTCTGGCCTTTGATCTGGGATTTGACATTACACCTTCACTTAAAAAGTGAGGGGGGCTACATCTTTTCAAGGTTTTGCCAAATAAATTTATTTCTCATCAAATTTTAAATATTACTATCATTAAAATGCAGAACAACTTCACTCTTTTTATAAGAGATTTTTAATTTACCAGCTGTTAATTTTTAGCTCTACTATTATCCTAGTGTCCATTCAACCAAAATGCCCTGTTTGAATTTTCGGCAACTTCCAGGAGCAAAGGGAACAGCATTTTAACCTCCCCCTGGACATATCAAACACTTAAACCTATCTCTGAAAAAAAATACCTTTAGAGTGGTTAAAGTTTTATCTTTCATAAGATACCACGGTTAAGGCTCCGTATGAAGTGCTGATAATTACTGCCCACCTACACCTCCCCTAAGTGAGAAGTAAGTGTTAATGTTGGCTTAGGGGAGGGGTAGGTGGGCAGTTTCCCAGCAACGTATAATGATTCTTTTTTTCTACAATGGCTTCTTCCCTCTTAAATTCACGCTCGCATGGCTCGCTTCACTCGTCCAAATGGAGAGCTTGCTCGCAGGCTAAGAAATCACAAGAGACTTGATTGTGTTGTACAGGCATAAGTAATCTCCCTCTTTCTTAAACCCTTTCAAGTCCCAATAGTGACCAACATCAATTTTCTCCTAACGATATCCATACAATGTCAAGAGATTAGGTCATGAGAATTAATTAAATGATCACCAAAGAGAAAATGCCTTGATCTTTTCTCATATTCTCTCAACTTATTCTTTAAAGAAATGTATAGAGATCAGTTTGGAGAATTTGCTTGTGGATATTGGGGCTTAAAGGGTTAAATAGCTCATCATTAAAGTTGATCAAAGACATTTTTTATCACTCTTCTAAACACACCCTGATGGTTCAACCAAGCTGCAACATGCCCACAGTTTATATACTCTACTGAACATCCAGGCCAAATATCACATGGACTTGCAATATTATCCTGTGGAATGTAAGCATCATGCTTTGCTACAACAAATCGCACCAGGCTGGAATCAACTGGTTGTGGAAAGTTCTTCAGATGGGTGGCTTCGTCCATGACAAAATTCATGAAATCTACTGTTTCTGATCTTGTTGATGATGTTCCTGTACCCTTAGTTTTCCTAAGAAATGAGGGTAGATAATCAAGGAAATTACTCTTTACATTATTGTAAATGTGTTCATGTTGAAGGTAGAGTGTCTGGACGCCATTTTCATCCATGTTCTTTCTATCATTTTCCAAGTAAGATTGAGGTGAAGTGTTCCAGTGATAATCAGTCTCAATTAAACCATCCCTTAGCAAGTCTTTATCAAACTGAGTAAATGCATCGCCATTGATTGCCACATTATTCAGAAGATTTTTTCTGTAGTCTTCATCTAAGAGTTGTCTTTCCAGTGTGCTCCATGCACAAGCTTTGCTCATCACTCCCTGGAAGAGAAAAAATTCTGATCACCCTCAAGTATGCACAATGAAAAAATAAAATCAAGAACCTAAAGTCATAAATTTAGCTTAAATGGGCACAGCAGAGAGTCAACAAAATGACTTCCACTAAAAATTTTGCACCTGTAACCACTAGTTCCTTTGCCATGGCTTCCATGGTAGCCTGAGAAAACAGCCAACATTTGGCAACCCTACCAGGCAGGTTTCCCTGACAAATGATGTCTGAGAAATGAGTGCAGAAATTCCATACTGATGACGCGCCACTACCCAGATCTGGGTAGTGCTTCTGATTGGTCGTGCTGCCTGGGAAATTTCATTCAACCAATCAGAGGCACTACCCAGATCTAGGTAGTGATGCGTCATCATTATGGAATTTGTGTGCTTGTTTCTCAGACGTCATTTGGTGGGGAAACCAGTGGTAGCATCTCCACATGTCGGCTGTTTTCTCAGGCTACTCCCAAGGGTGTAATAATTGCATTTACACAACTGAGCATACCTTCACACATGAAAATAACATGCTATCTTCACATGTGAAAAGATCACCATTGCTTTGGCCACATACTAAACAATGAACTTTCAGGGCTGTCATTAAGTTTTGAAGCAGCCGTAGCAAATGAAGATTCATCTGTAAAATCTCAAAAAAATTTATAATGCCACCTTCAGCTTTCCACTTTGATCACCTGTAACATCACGTGAGTGAGTGTTGTTGTGTAAAAAAAAAACATCACGTGAGCTCAGAGTAACGGGCCTTAATGACAGCTCTGAACTTTTATCTACCTGTGTAAAGACTGAAGATGCTGTACTCCAGGACAGACAGGGTACTATAGCCAGTGGTTCAGGCCAAGCAGTGCATGCAAGGGAAGCCATATGTCCCCCCATGGATATCCCAGTAACTCCCAGGGGGGCGTAACCCTGGCGGTGGCCCCAATGAAGTAGAACATGTGATTCTAGAATTAGTGCAGCACCCATAACAAACAAATCCGCTACATGTCTTAGACTTGATCGAACTTGGTTATTCGGTTTTCTTAAACCGTAAAAAGGGTTTTCTAATAAGATCGACGCAATGCCGTGCTCCTTGACAAGAGGTTTAGCCATTAGATTTCTCCTTCGCCAGAAATAATGGTCGCCTGTTCCAGCTAGATGAAGGCATAACGGTTTTCGTCCTTTTTTGGGCCACTTTTTCGGGACGATGATCTGAAAGTGAGCATTTTTACTTTCTTTGGGCAACAATCCTGGAAAGAATTCAGCTAATGGAGAAACAAAATGTCCTTCTGCAATGTAACATGCGTCTTTCGTCCATGATTTGGTTAGTTCAACAGGATAGTCTGAAGGAATTAGCGCGTTAACTTTTGTCCTATCAGACACGACTTTCCGTGCTTCTAACAGTCGTTCATATACTTTTACATCACCCCATCCTTTCGAAAAGAACGATGACAAGATAAGCCTGCGATAAATAATATCGCTTTTACTGGCAAAACACATCGGGCCACAGAAGAAACAAATTTCGTTTTTCTTTTCGATTTAGCGACCAGGCCTGTTTCTTGCCGTCATAAGGGGCCGACCATTAGAAAACTTATATGGCTGGGGCGGGGGGCGGGCGAAGTACAAGAAAAATATTCGCGCAAGGGAAAATTAAATGGAAAAAAATTTTTGCAAGCTAATTTTATCCTAAAAAGTATTCATGCTATGGCCTAAAAAAGATTCATTCAAAGAATTTGATAACGAAAAAAAATTCCTGCAGCTCGAATATTCCCCTCCCCACCTATAACTTTTCTAATGGTCCGTCCCTAAGATTGTCGTTACATTCTCGGATTCTCTCGGGACCGCGATTACATTTTCGTCAGTGATTCGTAACTGTTGGAATGTCGTGGGGTACGTTTTCGGATCTCATGGTAGCGGATGTGACTGAGAAAGCTAACGTATGTCCTTCCGCCAAGTTTTGGCGAAAGAACTGTGGTGACTATTCACAGTGAATCAATATTGAAGTAACCATGAAATTTTTACTGAACTTGATGACGAGCTAAACAGGCAAAAGCAAAATGAGCACGCCATTGAGAGCAAACATATCGCGCGGAAACCCGGACAAGGTGTTCGACTTGATCGAGAAGGTCGGGGGAGGAACTTACGGAGATGTCTTCAAAGTTTGTATCTTCTGGTTTATTTATTTTGAAACGAGTGGTTCCTGCGTTTTTCGATATATTGAGTCCTGTTTTGTAGCATGTTTTAATTCCACTCAATGAATCTGAAATTCACCTCCAACTCTAGGCCAGAGTGATTGCTACCGGAGAACTTTCGGCGGTGAAAGTTGTCAAGATTGAGCCAGGCAAGTTGGATGACTGATGAATTCTAAGCTAGTTTTAAGAGGGATTTAAGTCTTTTCTTAACTGCTGCATGGCCATTTTTATTAAAGTGACGAAGGACCATTGGATTTATAGCACTAAAACCCAATAGTTCTTGCGTTTACGTGATCTTCAAGTGTCATTTACACCACGAAAGTCGTAAGCCTGTTCCAGCTTGCTGCTCAATTAACGTCCCTCTAAAGGCTTCCAAACATGGTATTGTTTAGTTGTTGTTGCATAATTCACTGAGCTCATCTTAGTTTGATATTTAAAGGTATATTTAACTAATATACACCAACCTTAGTTTAAAAACTGAATACATTTTTAACTCATCGACTTATTCCATGCAAATTATCTGGTGACCGATGTTCAATATTTCCTCCTTTGCTAAAAATATTGTGGAAACCAAGTTTCTTTTTAATATCTCGGTAGTGTGTATATTTTTTGCCAGTTGAGCTAAAATAGAGGCTCAAAAATTACCATAATCAGTGAAAACGTGATTAAAAACAACCTGGACTGATTCAAGCTTTAAGAATGCACTGTGGGAGTTTAAAAAGCCAAGATAATGATACAACCTATTTAAGTTTGATGTTGCACTAATTTGCATTTCAACATTAATTAATTAGTTATCACAACTGGTTATCTATTCACGACAACATTAATAAAATCTTCAAGGGTGAACTTGCAGTTTTATCATGTTAAGCTTTGCAAAATTGTAGAAGAAACCATACAATAATCATTAAATCACATGTCAATGTTATTTTCTGCTCTTAGCAGACCGTAAAATTCTTTTGTCAATAACCTGTAACTTAATGAATGTGAAATGCTTTCACATTATGTTTACACGTCATTCCATGACATTAATTTTGGCAGACTTTTCAGTCACGAAAATGGCACAAGTCATAATAAAAGCTAAGAATTTCCTGATAGCAATATTTTTGTTGTCATTAAACTATCTATAGATCCATTTATTTTTCTCTCCAGACTACCCAAAACTGAAAGAAAATTCAAACTTTCATTTTTGCATTACCAGAAGTTGTCACATGCTGCATGTATTTTGGCTTAATTTTCACCTTGATTAAAATTTTATTTTCTTTTGTTTCAAACCCCATATGATACATACAATATTATTATTGTAAAACAAACTGATGGAAACCAAAATTTGAAACAGGAATGAAATTGAACCACAACATGTATGCATAAAGCATTTTGTCTCTTGGCAATTACAGGGCTCAAAAAAAAAATTTGAATCCCAGCTTGTCTTTTGGGCGAGCAGCTCTCACATTTTGGTTGTCCGGGGCCACTTCTTTCTCAACTTACGTAATGATTTAGATAGATGTGGATCCAAGCCTTGTCATTGCATTGTTTCCTTAAACAAGAAACTTTGCTCCCCTTAAATTCTCTTCACCTAGCAGTATACATATAAATGGGTCCCAGAGATTGTATACTTCTAAAGATAAAGCTGCAAAGGACGTCTCTTTGAAAAAGACAACTTGAGTTCATCCCTGCAATCTTTCAGTCATTTCCTTTGACTTGCCATAAGGCAAGATGAACACTTACGCCAATCCGAGCAGTATCCATGGAAAGAGATGCCTGTATATTGAATTGACAAAATGTGTTCCTTTGAAACACATTTCCTCCTTTCTTAGAGAGGGGACGAGAGAGAATAGACACCTAGCTTAGAATAATCAAGGTGTACATTGTATGACTACCCGAAATAAGGGGATTTCCAAAGATTCCCGCAAAGATTCCTTATTGTTTTTTATTCAACTTTGATGTTTTCATAGGAGATGATTTTGAGCTAATTCAGCAAGAGATTGCCATGATGCAACACTGTCAACACCCCAATATTATCCAGTATATGGGCAGTTACCTCAGGTATGCTACTTGCTGAGTTAAGTTTGGAATATGATGAAGACCAATCAAGATATCAAGTAATTAGCTGCTAATGAAGTTGTTGAAATTTGTAATGCAGATCTTGAATACAAACGTTGGCCCATTCCTACAGCTTAGACAGTAATGCAAATCTAATGGTTACAAAACGTCCAGTGTGTAACCAGCACCATTAGAACATATTACAGTCTAACCTCTCCTTACGGACACCTCTATAATGCGGACACCTCTCTATTAAGGACAGTACCTTTGGTCCCAGAAATGCCAAAAATCATACATTCCCTACCTCTATAATACGGACACCTCTGTAAAGCGGACACTTGGTTCTGTCCCTTTGGTGTCCATATTAAAGAGGTTTGACTGTATTTTATGTTGAAGTTTACAATGAAATTCACAGTGTACGTGTAGCCTAAAGCAGTTTCAACTAAGTCTAATTATAAATTCTTAGTTTATTTTGTCTTTCAACAAAATAAAATTAAACTTTTGTTTGCAGTAAGCACTAGTTTTAGGAATTTTGAAAAGTTCAATGTATATTTTTTTCTATTTTATTTCTAACATTTGTTTGTTTGTCTTGTTTACCTTTTTTTAGAAGGGACAAGTTATGGATAGCAATGGAGTTTTGTGGCGGAGGCTCGGTTCAAGATATTTATTGTGGTTAGTGTTCAAAAACTCCCTATTATAAAGTCCTCAAAATTAATAATAATATTATCTGTTCCACTCCAGGTGGCAATCAAAGACAACAGGGGCAGAAATCTCACTGTCAGATGTAAAAGTTAACATTTTGACATTCAGACCAGTCATTCTCTCTATTTCAACACCAGACATCAGAAGTGGAAAATTTTGAATTAATCTCTAGAATTAATCAAGTTTTTAAACTTTTTTATTTATATGTGAATTTCATTTTTATGGTTGAGTGCCATACTTTTATTATTATGTGTATTTAAACTCATCACCAATAGATGAGCTTGGGCGTTGGTGCCTTCAAAGTTGATGGAGCTGGGCAATGCTCTAGCATGAGGAGGAGGTATCCATGGCAACCCTACGAGCGGCCCCCACCAGGCACCGTCACACTGAACAATTCAGTGGAATACTTACCGACCCAATACTTACCTAGCCCACACCAAGAGGGAGGGAGGGATGGGAAAAACCAAAGCGCAAACTGGCACGCAAACAGCAAGCAATTGAAACAACACTGCAAGCAAGAACTGAACTGCAAGCAAGCAACTGCGTATATAAGTCACGAGGTGCCCCTGCTAGAGACATCGGGCCACCCCTAATATAGCTGGGGAAACAGCTGACCAGCATTGCTTTGAGGTTAACTTTGCCTAAATTACATTAAGCCACATTCATTTATTTATTTTTTTATTTTTTTATTTCAGTTACAGGACCATGTTCCGAAAGTCAAATTTCCTTTATTTGTGTAGAAACACTGAAGGTATTTTGTTGTTTTACTTCTCATTTACCACTTTAACCCTTCAAGTCCCAAGAGTCACCAACATCAATAATTATTTTCTCCTACATGACTTGTAACAATATCAAATACATACTCAACAGAAAAGGTTATGAGAATTAAATAAAATGATCACTAAAGGGAAAATGCTTTGATCTTTTAACAAATTCTCTCAACTTATTCTATGAGAATTGTATGAAGGGCAGTCTTAAGAATTTGCAAGTGGATCTTGGGGCTTAAAGGGTTAAAACAGTCGAGAAGGGAACTGGAGCTGAAATGCGCTCCTGATGCATTACTTACTGGAGACACGCCGGTCAGCTATTGGCCAATTTTTTCCCTGTCCCTAGCAACAATCTTTTCTTTTCATTTCAAGAGGGGCAAATTAACAGTACTGAAGGAGTAAAATGTAATTATCCTATGAGGACTACAAGCCAGGCACTAACAACAGAACCAAAATTAGGTAGACAATCACACACAAGGTTCCCAGGGAAATTCTTAGGTGTCCCTTCGCTTGGGGTTCCTGTGGCTCCATTGGGGTCTGGAGTCTACATTCTAGGTTTAAGTATGATCAGTTTTGAAACTTACATTGAAAATATGAGTTGTTAACCTGGACCTGCTCTTCTCTGGGTTTTTTTTTATAAAGAAACAGGCCCCTCAGTATTAGTGGACCCTGCATAACAACTGATATTACATGGTGTAATTTGAGACCATTTTTTTTTGCAAGCGATACAACTGTTTGTTACTTTCTTGCAGGGTCTGGCATATCTTCATGAGAAAAGCTTAATGCACAGGGACATCAAGGTACTATACTAAAGAAAACAAGGTGTACACA